CTTGGCAGTGTCTCATGGTTCTTCTGCACTTCTGTACTTAATGCCATGCTGAATCTAGGCGAGCGGTCCGTTGTAGCGTGGTCCGGCCGTGGTTGCTCGCAAATACAGGCCATCTGTAGCTTACGGCTCTGACCCGCGCGGTCTGCAGAGAGAACCTTAGACGGCATTGAAACACCGGGCCAGCGGCATGGCTCTACGGACAGGTCGCATGAGGATTCGCCGCTGGGCGCAATAAAAGGGAGATTTACTGATTAATTGAGCTGATAATACCTTCGCTGAACAGTGAGAAATGCTGCAATGGCGAGCCTCTGTTTCATCTTGGGCCAATAGTTGGTGCCAGGCCACAGGCCAGGGCTGCCTCTGTAAGGTCAATGGGAGCCCGCACACCTAGAGACAAGCGTACAGCCGCCTCGCTAGGTGGCTCAGGCCCGCTGGCGCCCCCTTAGTTGCAATGCCCCGCCCTGAACCCCACGCCAAACGTGACGGTGCAAGGTGCCTGACATTCGCCAGCAGGTAGCCCAGACCTGGTCCTTCTTGGGGACATCCCAGGCCCCCTGTCGCAGCTAAGGTATTCGCTACCTCTCGGACCATGGCCCCCCTGCCTTGGCTTCTTGAGGCTTTGGCTACCTTATTACTACAGCCCCTACTAAACCACTCCAGTCACTACACCGCACCCCCCTGGGTGCTTTCTGAGCCCACCCCTGCGCTCCCCTTCTACAACCCCCCCTACCCACCTCCATGAGTCCTCATCTGAGTGCCTGAGCAGTGCATTCTCTCTCGCTTTTGTGCTCCCCAGTTCCCTCCCAGTGCTCGCTTTCTTCATACAAGCTAGCCCACTCACACTAAAAAAACCACGCCTTTTCTCTTTCATTCTAGATCTGCCTTTTAATCAAATCAACCTCCCCGCCTCCCAAGATTCCTCTGAGCTCCTTCCCCTCCCTTTAAACCACCTTTCCCCCAAGCCCGTTAGATGGCCGCATTGCACCAGACTTCGATCCCCGAGCCACTGTCACTACTATCTGGTCACCCCCAAACACCAACGCCTCCTCTCTCACCCATTGAGAAGTTACCGCCAACCCCTCCGGCCGACTCCTCGACCGTGGATCGGAAGCCAACCGACTCTGTCATCGCTGGATCTCACTACGCCCATTCCGTCCGACATCATAGCTCCCCGTCTACGAGTTCGATATCGAGAGCGCCGCACCGCTCCTCCAGTGGCATCCTCTCCTCCTTGGCCGCTGCCGCTCTTGACAAGACCCAGAGCGCTCTCGCCAACATCTCGGACCCCGTCATCCGCCAGAGGAATTCCTTCGCTCGCCTCTCCCTCAGCCAGAGTTCAATCCCGCTCAGCGACCCCGACAGCCCGGACAAGAAGTCGCTTCTGAGGAAGCCCTCTACGCAGTCGCTTTCCACCAAAGCCACAGTGGACGGCAAGCAGCCTGCTTCAGCTGCCCCGGCCAAAGTGCCGATCTCACAGCCTTACTCAGAAACAGACCCAAGCCGGCCGCTTCCTCACCGGTCTCCGGTTACCAACAACACAATGCATCAAACATCCTCGCGGTTACTGCGCATGACGGATGATGAGCGCCCGTTCACAAGAGTACGTACTTTGTATTTCCTAGCCCCCTCATGCTCACTCTACCACCAGTCTTTGGCCCGCGACGAGAGCAGCTGTGGTGATAGAAGCGTCATTGAGCTCGGTGCTCCCTCTCTCTCTGCAAGGAACCCCTCAATTGAGCCCAACTCTTTTTACAGAGGGGCTAACGAGGGTATCCGGGTTGCTGGGATGGATGGTTTGGATCAGGCGACGGGGGGCCCTCGAACCGCAAGACGATAAACATGAGACACAAATTGACTTATAATTCTGCAGGACTTCAAGGATCTCTTCTCCACACTCATCGTCAGCTTACTTCCTCTCGGTGCGCATCGTGTTCGATTGACCAAGGTGGACTACACATTCCTCTCTGAAGATGCTATCAGCAACCTCAATTCTCTCAAGTTCTCCCAAAGCAACCGAATGCCGGACCCCAAAGATCCATCACGAATCGTTACAACGACGACTACAACTACCTTTTCTATGGCAAAAGATATGGCACGGTCGATCTGCCAGCGATTTCTCGAGGCTCGCTTCATCGAGAGTGCTGATGGGAAATACCAACAAGTCTACAACATGAAGGGAGGAATCTGGCAACTAACTGCTAAGGGAGTCACCGTGCTGGATAGGTTCTGCTCGAGAAATGGCATTCAGCAAAAGCAGGTTGCAGAGCTGGTGAGCCGAAGTGCCGCCCACCTCGTTATCTTGGAGAGAAGCCAGCACACCGACAAGTTGGTGACTGATCGAAGCACCCTCGATGTCATCTTCCGCCGGTTTGCTGGCACAGACGGCCGAAACATCAAGTCGAGCGTGACGGCAGCCGACTCCGACTCACTTCATGACTACAAGGATGGATTGACTGGAGTAAAAATGGCAGCCGAGCGCAAGGTGAACGGCAAGACATACCGGGAGACCCTTACCGGCAAGGCCGCTTCTGACTGGTTGATGGACTGCTCCACCATCGTTGATCGCAGAGAGACGATCGAAGTTGCTACCCTATTCGTTGAGAACGAGCTGCTCGAACCTGTTGCCCAGGATCGCTCCTTCATGTCCCAAAATCCTGGCTGCAACTTGTTCCAACCCACAAAGTACGCCATCTACCAAATCACACAACACGGAAAGGACGTCATCAACGGAACCAACACCCGTGGCCGTCAATCAGAAAGCGAAGGTGGCAACCCTACGCCTCGCAATGGCATCAACCGAGACTCCAACACTCAACGTCTCGACAAGATCCTCACTGATGCAGCTCTGCGTCTACTCTTCCGCGAGTATCTACGTGATACGCACTGCGAGGAGAACTTGTCATTCTACATGGATGTGGATGACTTTGTCCGTTCTTGTAAGGCGGCTATTCGCCATGCGCTCAAGACCCAACCCCCTGCAGGCAAGAATCCGACGCAGGGCGCTGGGCAAAGCAACGCATCGATGGACAGCGTAAAGGAGATCATGGCCCAGGCCTATGGTATTTACAATGCTTTCTTGGCCCCTGGCTCTCCTTGCGAGCTGAACATTGACCATCAACTTCGCAACAACCTGGCAACGAGGATGACCAAGGCCGTTGGTCAGGATGTCACCATGATTGAAACACTTCAGGAGGTGACGGAATTGTTCGAGGACGCCCAAAATGCCGTTTTCAAACTGATGGCCAGCGTAAGTTTCTCACCCGCACGCAACCGTTATCCGGTGCTGCTACGTGGTCGGGTCCAACAGCTAACACCTTACTTTTTAGGACTCCGTTCCCAAGTTCCTCCGCAGCCCCAAGTATGAGCAGCAGCTCCGTAATTACGAATTCGACAACATGGGCCGTGTGCCTGAGCGCAGCCAGAGTCGCTCAAACCGAAACTAGGCGACGTTCGCACTCAGTTATAAACGAAAACCTTCTACCGCTAAGCCATTTTCAGCTGGCAATCAACGACACGCATGATGACCTTTTCCTTTTCACCCCTTTGTGTTGCCCTTAGACCATACCCGTGGCGAATGGATCTGGCTCTCCGGATGAGCACGAAAACACACTTCTCATCCCTGACGAATGTCAGGGAGTCAAGCCGTGCTCTAATCCGAGCGAGGCATCCGAGGAAGCCTGCTGTGAACGGGCTCAGCATGCAAATGCAAACCATTTTGCTCTCACCACCGGACATCTGTACGACATGGACGACCAAACCATAATAGATTCCCTCGCTTTATCTATCATGTGCATCATTGGTGTTGTTTGTTTTTATTTTTCATTTCTATTTCTCATCTTGGTTTTATTTTTCTTTTGCTTCATGTCTTTGTGCTTGAAGCAACCTCTCACGGCAGAAAAGACGGATGGGACCGGCTGAATCAACCTTACGGGGCTGTTGCCGGCCCGGAGTCTTGTGAAACGTGCAGATCTAATTGCCTTGGTTGCATTTTCATATTATTTTGAGGAATTTTGGAGGGCGGCTTAGTTTTAGGGCGTTAGCTGGAACGCTGGAATAGAGAGGAACGGGTAGTACCTGAGGATTCTTCCGCTTGTTTGCAGTACCAAGCAAACGAGGAAAAAAAGGGAGGCAAATAATTGGATTGAGAGTTGGAGCCTGAAAGCAAAGCAAGTCTTATTTCGTGAGAAGCAGCAAGCCTGTGCTGGGCCCGGATAGAGCTGGATTGCGAGGGACGGATGGAGAATGACTACTAGAGCTGAACTGTATAGTATTGCAAAGGGAGCTTGTTTATTGCGGCCGGCAGTGATATCCCGATCTTTGCTCTTTGGGACCCAACCCGCACGTCCGTCACGATTGGTCGAGGAGGAATCTTTCACCACAGTGGGACTGTGAGACAGTTGTCGTGATATGGGAAGATCAAGGCGGAAGATGACGAATTCTCAACTTTGAAGCATCTGTACTTAGTAGAAGTGGGCATCTCATCACAATCGAGAAGAAAATTGGATCAATCGAAATGAAAGCTGTGCAAGTAGGAATGAACCTCGACCTGGATGCCGGGAGTTTGGGGCTGGTTTCATATGGCATTGGCACGCTGGGTAATCTGGCGATGGTGTTTTGGAATGACGGGACTAGGAATGCGAAGAGGATCAACACATCTCAATCGAGTTGGGCCAGGAACAGAACGAGCGAGTCCAGGCCTGGCGCTGGATCTGGATGGATCTCACAGCACGGCGCTGCTTTCACCTACGGGTCTGTGTTTGTTTTCAGACGTGTTCGTGACTCCGGCGTCTTCGCGCCCTCGACAACCGGAAACAGCATATAAGACCACACACTCCTCTGCTCTCAGAGGCATGTCTTTCATTATTATCAGCAACTTGCCCAGTCAGTCCTTCTCTACCCTTCGACACTCGTTCAAACACCGCCGTCTTAATTTCGAATCTCTTTGATTCCAGCCACTCGCTCAACCAGATCACCGTTCTCACCCAAGACCTAATTTGATAATGCACGCCCAGGCCGTCCTCTCTCTCGCCCTCGCCGGCCTCGCCCTTGCTGCCCCCCAGGCCGGCGGCGCTGGACCTCGTCCTACGCCGGACCCCAACTGGAACTGGGGATGGGAGCACAATGCCACCACCACCACCACCAGGACCCTCACGGCCTACACCACCTACTGCCCGGAGCCTACCACCCTCCACTTCAACGGCAAGAAGTACACCGTGACCAAGGAGACCACCCTCACCATCACCGACTGCCCTTGCACCGTCGTCGAGAAGAGCCATCCCACCCACAGGCCTCACCACACCACGACCCCTGTCCCCGTGCCTCCCCCCAAGCCCACGGGAAGCGCCTCGCCACCTCCCCAGACCGGCTCTGCTCCTCCCTCCAGGTCCTCTTCCAGCCCGCCAGTCAACAGCGAGAGCCCGCCTTCCCCTCCCTCGACCCCCAACACCCCCAACACTCCCAACTCCCCCAGCCCTCCTACCAAGGTCTCTGGCGCCGAGGGCAGCAACGCCAAGTTCGGCCTCGCCGTCGTCGCGGGTGCTGCCATCGCCGGTCTCATGGCCCTGTAATCGGGTCCCAACCCAGGTCCCCGCGCTGGCGGGTGTCCAAGTCGACGCCCTTCCGTGGCCACGGCCACCCCTTGATTTTCTTTCCCGGGGGCTGTCGTTGAGTCGGATCCCTGGTGCTTAATATTTTTCTTCTCTCTGCCTTATTGTTTTTTTCTCCACGGGGGCGTTTTAACATTTCTGATGTGGACCGGTCAAGCTGGTATAATGATTCTTCTTCCTCCTTTCTGAGGCGGTGACGCTTAATGGGTTTACTCTTCTGGTTTGATAGATGGGGTTTCTCTTTGCAACTTATGACCGCATATTTGGTGTTGTCGTATAGCTCTTTCACATAACCTTGAGCAAGTGGAATACAAGCTTATTTTTCGCTCTACTCGTGTGATTTCCGTTCATCTCGCTCGCCATGGTGACCCTCGAGCTTTTTCATCGTTGAATCTTCACGGTGGATGGGTGCAGTTTGTCACACGTCCCTTTCAGCGTGCCTGTATTTTGTTGTCGCCCGCCGCGTCCAGCTCGGAGAATAACATGGGTGCGTGAGCCCTGTTCTGGACGTCGGGTGGTGCCGCCCACGGGGGAGGGACCCGTTGGAACGCAGCGGCGCCTGGGATGCCACCCTCGTCCCGGCCACCACCACCACCACCGTATTGGACGCCGCCGTACTGCTGGTTCACCCCGAACGGCGGCGTAGCACTACCGACGGACGATGATGCTGCAGCAGCGCCGCCGCCATGGGTGGCAGGTCCCAACGGCGCGGGGGGGCCGGCCAGCAGGGCCTTGCGGCCCATGGCCTCGACGACGGTGCCGTGCGCCTTGCTCAGCGTCTTCTTGACGAAGCCGGCCATGAGGAAGTTGCAGCGGAAGTCGATGTCCTCGCGGATGTACAGGCCCGTGGCGGGGGCGCCCAGGCCGAGCTCCTGGGTCTCGGGGGGCTCGTGGGGGAGGCGGCCGCCGACGGACCACTTCTCGCGGAGGTCGAGCCCCATGGGCGCGTGGCAGTGGGTCTGGAGGCCGTCGGAGAGGTTGTGGAAGGCGGCGGTGTAGGAGACCTCGCCGGAGAGGAGGTCGGATCCGGGGATATAGGAGATCTTGTCGGTGATGGAGTACCAGGCGCAGCCGTGCTCGTCGGGCTCGGCGTGGTCGGGGGCGGGGATGGCGTGGCGGTCGATGACGAGCGGGTTGAGGTCGATCATCTCGAGGTGGTTGTGCAGGAAGTCGAGGGCGGTCTCGCGCGACACCGAGGGCGGCAGGGGGGAGATGTTTGTGAACGTGGTGCGCTTCAGCATGATGGCGGTTTTTGGGTGTCACGACCCGATGACGGAGGTGAGGTTGCTGGAATTGGGTGCCGCGGCCGGGTGGGAAATTTGGAGGGCTTTGTTCTGCTTTCCCTGGGCGAGATGGGGGTAGAGAAGTGCTGGTTTCCAGGTCGTTTCTGCTCAATCGCCAGCTGATGAAGTGTCTGGCGAGTCTGGATTACGAGGGCGGGCGGACGTTGGGATATATGGTGTCTGGGGAAGGGAGCTTGGGCTTGGAGCTAGTTCTGTCTCGGCCTCTAGGGTTGCATGGACGTGAGTTGTCGATCAATCAATAGTGACCCAGCTAATTCATGTGGAGGGTGAACTGCAGTGTACAACCGCCATGAGGCTGATGAAGCTAACCGATGTATATTCACTAACGTTTCTCGAATCGCTTTGGTCAGCGCCGTCCTGTTCCAAGTGGGCGCTAGCCTCCGCTTTGGGGTGACGATGATCCCAAGAATAGCTCCAACATCGCTTAATCATACTCTGAGCATAAGCCACATTCTCACCCGCCTCCGACGTGGTGTTTGCTGACTGTGAGCAACAGCGGTCCGCCCTCAGGGACGAATAACGTGTGTATGTCGGATCCTTGGTCAAACCAGGTTGCCGCATATCCAGTTGACCCCTACCCTGATTTGCCGTGTGAATTTCCTAATTGAATATATTCGCCCCCTTCAGCTGACTATAGCCGGCGGGTGTCTTGTCTAATTAATATATCATGTCTTTGAATACGCTCACACACGCATGTCTATATAAAGTTTTCAATCATAACAACAGAGGCTTCTTCATAGCTCCTTGCACCACTTGGCCTGGACCGAACTGAGTTTCACGGCCCAAGGAATCTCCTCCAGGGCCACGTCTAGCTTCCACATTCTTCCCTCCAAGCCACCATGGCTCATCGCTTTCCCACCACCGACAGCCGACGGCACCAGCAACCCTAATGTGATTAACCTTTCCCAGGCGATTCCGGCAATGCCTCTGCTCCAGACGCCCACCCCACCACCAACCGCAAGCATTCCCGAAGCGGCCGACTGCACACGCTGTCTGCCCACCAGCGAGCTGTACTCATCGTAAGCCATGGCGAAGTTGACCGTGTCGGTGTGTGCCACAATGTCCAGTCGTGCCGCAGCTATTACCAGGCTCAGTTCCAGATCTGAGAGTGCTGAGAGGAGGTGCATCCGCGAGTCCGGCGGTGCTAATGATGTAAAGTCTGCGGCCACGGCTGGCGCGTCAATGACCAGGTTGGTGCTCGATAGTAGCGACAGGGGGAGAACCCAGTCGTTGAAAAACGCCGCCGCAGACTTGGTCGTATAGTAATGGTACTGGAGTAGTTCTTGGAATGATTTCTGCTTATATAACTCCTGCTCAGAGATTAATTATTGCGCCCGCCGCCAGAAAAGAAAAGAAAATGGACATGTGCCTGCACTTACATCAATTTTCTGACTCCAGTACTTGTGGAACTCGCCGTAGCCCTCCATGTTGGTGTCGATTCCTTCCTTCGCGGCATCCTTTCTCTCGACAATGAGCCCCTGTCGACAAACTTGCCAGAAAGCGGGCAAGCTTTTGGGTAGCGTGAGGTAGATGTAACGATGGCTGAATCGACTCTTGACTCTCTTTTCCAGCAATTCCACTATGTCAAGTCGGGTAGTACATCCTAGGACAGCGATCGGAGCTTTACGCGACTGCGCAATATCAAACAAGTTGTAGAGTAGAGTTTGGCGTGGATGTGAGGCAAACATGTCGAACTCATCAAGAATGAAGACAATGGATTGTGACGTCAGTCCCTCATCCGTCCCCATGATTTCTGAAGGATGTGAGAGAAGTGCCAGTAACGAGGCCATGGTGTCGGCATAGTTGGTCTAGAAGAGGCGATGCTGTTAGTCAATTTATTCATTTTAGTGATTTTAAGACGTCTGGAGCTTACTCTGTTTGCAATATCGTCCTCGACCTGCATCTCCTTTCCAAGCTGGCGCCAGATCTCTCTCAGGGCAAGTTTATCGTCAGTATGAATGAACCCATTTAACCTTACGACGTGGAAATCTCGCCCGTGGTCCTTTGATAAATCCGCAATGATGTTCTCCAGCAACTGCTGCTTGTCAGTATGAATTTGCCCGGACTTTGACAAGAAGCACATACTGTTGTTTTCCCACTGCCCCTGGCACCAATGAGGAGCATCGAGTTTCCCTCACCAGCAACTACAGTCTGTTCGATGAGCTGGTGCGCCTTCTCGTGTACATCTTGGAGGCCAAATATTTCAATCCGTCGCTGACCCGTACATCGGTCTATCAACACCCGCTGATAGGACCGTAAATGATGGTCGAAATTAGGAATCTCGGGTACATCAATTGCTTCAGCGGGTGCCGTTACAATCGTCGTGGGTACCATTGTCGCTTCTGGTCGAGGCACAAGCGCATCTTCCTGTGAACACGCCTTGCACAGCCAGTCTCCTTCGGGGATCTCTAGGATCCCGTAGCATTCTTGGTGGACAGCATAATCGCAATTATCGCAGAGAACAATCTGATTCGGCGCTTTGGAGTGCGGTTTAAAGCACATCCCACAGACAATCTCATTCGTCACCACCGGCTGCGCCTTGGGCTTGCGTGGGCTCGCTGACTTTTTGATCGGCGATGTCTTGGGTAAGTCGTCGAAAAAAACCTCGCCATCGATTCTGCTGTCGAATTTGACGCTCTTTGGCGTCTGGTTTCTGTTCTTCGAGGGCGTCAGGATCGATTTAGGAGCTGGAGAGCCTGCCGCCGAGCCAAACAGCCTCTTCCCCGGCGTCTGCTTGATCGGTGTCCCCACATTGTCGCTGGTCAGCTCGTCCTCTGATTCCTCATTGCCTATCGCGTCGCGAGTCGTCGCTATCTTTTTTACGGTCGAGCGTGGCTTTGTCGGCGTATCGTCGAGTCGCGGCTGTCTTTTCCTCCCTGGCGTGCCCTTTGGTGTCCCCTTTGGTGTCCTGCCTCGTTGATTCGTCGACCTAGCAGACGCGGGCGAGCCTTTGGATGGGGACGCAAGCAAACGAGGCTTCTCCTCATTGTCCCAAATTGTTCCACGAAGTGCCTTTAACTTGATCGCAGGGCGAACTACCGGCTTCGGTGCCTCATTGGTGCCACTCGACGCTGATGGACTGGCCGCCCCGTTCGGCGCCGTCTCACCTGCCCGGCCGAAGCCAAAATAATTGGAAATTTTCGATGTAATCGCATTGAAGGCTCCCTGGGCGGACGGGGATTCGTTGGCGGAGCTGTTTAGTTTGCGCTTCTTGGCCGTCGACGGGGTTACTGATAGGGGGTCGGCAGCTCGCTTCTCTCCACTAGGCGTTGCATTTTCCTGGTTTATTTCTGACATATGGGATTGATTCGAGCTGTGCAGAGGGTCTGTTGATTAGATTATGGCGTATGTTGTGTTTGTTGATCTTGCCGAGTCGCCATTTCCTGGGTTGCTGGGATTAGCACCGGGTAGGTCGTCTAAATTTCTGGTTGATCGACCAACGCGTGAGACGCGTTAAGTGCTTAACCCTTCTGAGGCGCGCCATCTATCATCGCACTGGAGCCACTTAGCTAACCTGGAGTACCTACTAAAAGCCCGTTGGTCCAATTGACTTCAATGGCCACACGGCCATCCTACAACCAAGTTGCTAGGGAAAAGACAACCATACGAAAGCTTAAGCAAGGGTTGAACAGTTTGTTTTTCATTTATGAATGTTAGGATTTGTGTGTCATTTTTTCCTCCAAGTCTACCTTTGCATATCATCAGATGGCAACTCACTCGTATACCATCAACTTGATTGCCTACCTTCCCTACGGTGTCCCTCATTGGCAGGTTGGTGCCACCCTTCATCCTCTAGCAACTCTTCACTCTCTCGATTGATTGCCTCCTCGCGTAGAAGAGTTCCCGTACGGCTTCTACCATGGTACACACACAGCCCGCCTCGCCCCCCTTGTCGTGATTGATGTGCAGGACATAATGGGCTGCCTGGTAAATGCTCTGGGACATCAAACTCAAAAGTCCCCGGAACTCGGGATGTGTCTTTCTTGACAACTCGACGGGGAGTTTGTTCCCACCATTCACGTGGTGGGGCATTCAGGCTGCGGCGGTGAATGTCACTACGTGAAGCATGGTGTCGAGATTGTTGCGAGTCTGTCTCTGGTCCGCCATCTGTAGGGGGAATTGAGCACGTAAAGAACCCTCGAGGTTTCCCGTCAGCCGTGTCTTCGTCCAGTGGCGGAGTCGGTATTCTTTGGGCTTCCTAATCAGACTTCGTTTAGCAACCTAGTCAATTGTCACGACAAATGACAACGTACTCCGCCTGGAAATTGGCTGTTGGCAGAGGGTGTGCTATCTGGACATCAGATTAGTCGATGCGCAATCCGTGACTCCCAATACCACAACTCACAGTGTGCAGTACATCCAGAAACTGGCGTGCCTGGAGGCGTTGAGCCTCGGAGAATCTCCCTCACAGAACTGGCCACGCTACTGCAGGAGTCACCAGACTCTTTCCGATGCCAAGGGGCTTTGCCGAAGAAACTTTTCTTGGAGAACTTCGAGTTTCCATGTTCATCTTTAAACCAGGTAGTTGACTTACTGTTTAGTTGGGCTAGCTTATCGATGGGAATTTGGCAACATCCTTTTCCGTCTGCCACTGTATTGTGGGCTGGCTACATGTAGGCTTTTAGATTTTGAGACTCGAGGATTGCTTTGAACTAGCTTACATTTTGATCGATATTATGCTTCGCTCTGAAACGAGACTCGAAGGTTTTTAGAGTTCTCAAGTACAGCTTTTTCGGCGAGTAGGCAGGTGTGTCGGACAAAGTTCGTGATGATTTCCGGATAAGAGTCTCTGAAGATGACTTCCGTGACAGCGTCTCTTGTAAGCTGTCCTCATTGAGCGAGGCGGAATCCGCCACTTCAATCTCATTCAGCCCACTCTCTCGGCGTTCGAGCGGGTTTTGCAGCGAGAATACATGGGCAGACTCTGTAAGATATGGGCTCATTGGAGTTCCAGGTGCAGTTTGAAACATCTGGTTGGGTGCAGGTGGAAGCTGAAGTATACGTTGGTCTTGTATGTCTGCCTCACTTGTGGATTTGGTAGAGCGGGATCGCCATTTCCAAAAGCGGCTGCCTGTGCTTCCTTTCCGGTGGAGGGGCGAGGTAGATCGCTCTGCCCAGTACCCATCAGGATACCAGACCTACTCGAAACCATCTCGAGCTGGGCGAGGCGGGTCGACTCCAAAGGATTGTAAAGGGGGCGTTTTGAGCCGTTGATATGGGCCGGCATTTGTCAATGAACTTTGAAAGGAGGTCGAATTAGCCATCGCCCCTGGCCATGAATCATGTGAAGCTAGGCCGCTGGTGGTAAAACATATAGGAGGCGTCCTGACTCTAGGTGGAGGGGTATGGCTCCGGGCGAGGAGCGGATTAGGTACAGCAAGCTGAAAGTAGCTGCAAAACGTCAGCACTTGGTTAGGAGGTTGACGATCTGGAAAATGAGAATAGATCATGCCTAGTATCTCCGGTAAACGGTGCTTTTGAAGGCGTCGACCAAGGACTCAAGGAATACGACATTGTTACTCCCGAGGAGGATGCTCAAGGACTTATCTGGATGATCGTCGTGTCGTTGTTGGCTGGTTGTTCCTCCCTTCTCAGTGGGCATTCTGATAGATAGAGGCCAGCCGTAGGTAGTTGGTTACACGAGGAGAAATAAAAGGGAACAAATGTATTCATAGGAGAAGCGTGGAGAAGAATACTAAGTTAGCGATAGGATCGATGAACAAGCGAGAGGTGTTTGTTCTAAGATTTAGGCATGGGCAGTCAGTACTGAGAGTATCTACATACCTAGTTATCTTGAGGGTAGGTGCTTTCCTACCAACATAGTCTGTTCTGTTATAAGTAGGTAGGTAGGAAGGTCCCTCCTGCCTTACTAGAAGGCACACAGTTGGGAGCGAGTGAAGTTCATTGTTCTCAAGTGATTTGGGCATTGAAAGTATCATTCCCTCGTCATTGAAGAATGCAGGGAACATCAAAGTCTAGATAAATGCGATTGACATTTATTGGAATAAGTAAATAAATAAATGAAAATAGGATGAACCACCCAGAGATTCTATCACTCTAGGAAGGAGAAGCAATCGTAAATCGTCGGCTAAGAAACTCCAAACGCCCTTGATGATGATATCCTCGATACATTCGTGCCTCCCTTTTTCCTTTCCTAATCCATGATCATGGTATCGTCTCCATCCAGGGTCATTTCTGGCTGTTCAAGCGGCACTCCTCGTCCTCTACCGGCGAGCAGCTCTCGCCTGACCTCAGGCCCAATAGCGCTGTGACCATGGCTCAGAAGAAGATCCAACAGAGACTCGCGCTGATCTTCGGTGATATCTCCCTTATATCGTTGAGCAAAGGACAGTAAGCTCTGGTGCCAGATCACAGGCAGCTTCGTCTTGGCATCCCCGTCACGCTCGATGCCATCCATAGCGTCCCCATTCCTGATCGAGGCAGGATCGACGCTTCGGAATCGCAGGAAGTGGAAAACAAGTGCATCAATAACCTGGTATGGAAGAGCGTACTTCTTCTCAAGCAACGTCTTGATGAAGATGTTGGTTGCACCACCTCCCTCGGTACCTTGTGAAGCCTCCTGCGCTGCGATGTCGCAAAGACCTTTGAGAGCAGCTGCGGAATGGAGAACGGGGATGGAAATCCTTGCAAGGACAGCTGAAATAATGTGTGCCTCTCGGAGCGTGCAGCTTCCGCTGCCAACCAGAGGGAAAAGGAAGCCCTTGAAGAAAGCTGCGGGCTTGTAAAGTGCCTTCTTTAGACTGTTGAACAGATGCACGTTGAGCTTCTTGTTCTCATAGATATCCTCCCGGACTTTCTCCAGCACCACAATTTCGAGGAATCGCTGCACGACGCCGGGCTTGCTGGACACGAATATCCTCGTCGCTTGGTAGCAGGCGTTTGGCGACCAGCTTTCAGGCCTTGTGACTTCGATGATCTCCTCCCAGTGGGGGATAGTCGGTAGGATTTTAAAGGGCTTTGGTAGAGGCCCGGACTTATAGCGGGAAAGGATCTGACCGACCCTGCAAGGAGAAGAAGTTGTTAGCAATCGGAAAAGGCATGCGCCATGACTTGACTAGTAGTGGAACATACTTTGTATAGACCTCCACGACCTTTGGTGGCAGTTCGTAGTCTTCATCTGGTACTCCGACGGCCTTCCTAGCCTCGCCAGCTTCGTGCTGGGCAATCTTTTCCAGGATCAAATCAGCCAGGTTAATAGTCTCGCTCTCTTGCTCGTCGCCAGTTGGCCGGCGGTCCCAACCATGCTTTAAGAGATCATCCTCATCATCTGGCATGAACTTCTTATATGTCTCGAGGTCCTCGGGGTCGACCTCGATCTCTTCCACAACCTCATCGTCGTCACCCCAGGCCTCGTCGTCATCGCCATAGACTTGGTTCTCCTCCTCGGGCCCGTCCTCAAAGCGAGAGTCGTAGCCGAAGTTGTCAATTGTGGCAGATTGGGGTTGAGCTCGTGTCTCTGCATCTTCCTCATCCAGCTGGCGACCGATGCGCAGGATATTCTTCGAGGCTTTGGAATCCACATAGTGCTCGTCATTCTCGTCGTGGTCCTTGGACTTTCTCTTCCCAGGCTTGGTTCGCAGGACACCAGTCGCAATGACATCTTCCTCAAGGGGATTGTGGCGCCGGCCCTGGCGACCGGCGGTGGGAGTTGTGGCCTTTGGCATTGTGTTTTTGTTGATTTACTGGCTATGACAGCGCAAAGACAAATTCGGGGGCTGCATACAATTCTGACATATCCGGCCGATTGTGTGGCAGAATTATCAAAAATTTTGTTCTTATCGATCTGCCACCCCTCTTTCTTATCTAGGTTTAGCTCGGTATGTTTGTACTTTTCACCGCCTCCGCAGCTCTTACAGGAGAGGGTGAACACTTCTGGTTTGTAGGCATTTTGGAAGGAAATTGCAGATTTTATATAGGTCTTTTCATCTAAATTGAAAAAAATTATCCGAGAGAAGATTTTGAGTTGGAATTTTCCCTAGAAACATTCAAGGTGAGCCCAATACACCTGCCACCCTGGGAGTCTGGCATAGAGTAAGCCAATTTCCATCTGTTTCTACCACAGAAGCCTGAGGATATATTAAGTCTTGAATATAAATATCCCAAGGTGGAATTGATAGAACAAGGTCGACAGAATTGGAAGATTGAGATCCCTTGCCTGCCTCCGTGGGAACTTATGACGCTGTAATATCCACTGAAATAAATGCTGGTCATCTCACAGCCTAGAATAGACCCTTAACCCCACTATGACTGACTGGCCGTTGCCCCTCCATCTTTATCGTCATTTATAAAACTTCTGCAGAGCCCGCGGCGCACTTTCTGTGAGATACGGCGACTCGTCAATAGCCTCCTATCTGTACATATTTTTGGTATAAAAAAAAAACACATAATGCCTACTGAACTAGAAGAGGTGAGACAGCTCCCATGAATACTGTCCGGGGATTTCAAAGACTAATTCTAAAATTTCAACCCAGTTGGTGGGGTTCATCGCCAGTCCCAATATCAACATCCGCGCTCTCGCTGTTGAAAATTTGGTGCCATACTCGACAGCAGAGCCTGCCATCTTCAAGGCCGACAAGCTACAGCCTGTAAAGCACTTGAAGTTCCTGATCAAGGATCATCCTGTAAGTCTTGACATAACCCCCTTACAAGCGCTCCCATGCGCCCGCAGACAAATGCTGACCAGGGTTATGATTAGAAAATCGCTGAAAATGCAGCCACTATACTGGTCAACCTCACGGGCGACCCCGAAGTTCTGGAGGCTGTAGCAACCGACGAGAAATTCCTCGAGGTTGTCTTCTCGTATATAATCGTGAGCAAGCTCTTCAAAATGGTGAAAACCGTTCTTCTTGTCTAACAAAAAAATCCAGAACCCCGAAGAGCCCAATGCAAACTTATTAGCCATGCTCCTGGCCAACCTCGCAAAATGGGACGGCTTCAAGAGCACACTGCAGAGGAAACAGACTGCCCCCGAGGCGCTGGGCTCCGACGACAACGCGCTGAACCAGCTCATGGATCTCTTCGTTAAGGGCCAGGACGGCAGCTACAACAAGAAGGCCGACTTTGACTACCTCGCCTACGTCTTCGCCGACCTAGCCAAGCACGCCGAGATTAGGCAGTATTTCCTCGCTCCCCAAAAGTACGACGGCGTCGTGCCGCTGTCCAAGCTCAAGGTCTTCACCGAGCACAAGTCCGATATCCGCCGCAAGGGTGTCGCCAGCACGATCAAGAACGTCGCTTTCGAGGTCTCGTCCCACCCAGCCTTCTTCTCAGAGAGCGAGATCAACATCCTACCCTATATCATCCTGCCCATCATGGGAAGTGAGGAGTACGACGAGGATGAGATGCTGGATATGCTGCCGGATTTGCAGCTCCTGCCAGAAGACAAGAAGCGGGATAGCGATAACAGCATTGTCCAGACTCATGTGGAGACGCTGATGCTTTTCACAACTACGCGGGAGGGAAGAGAGCTGTTGCGGCAGATCAAGGTATACCCCATCGTTCGAGAAACGCATCAACGGGTGGAGGACGCAGATGTCAAGGAGGCGTGCGATCGGTTAGTGCAGGTGCTCATGCGGGACGAGGAGGAACCCGGACAGGGGGGAGGGTTCGTTACGGATGAGCGTGTTAAGGACGTCACAGAGGAGGAGGAAGGAGAGGATGAACTAGTCGAAGTCTGATATTAAATGAAGGTGAAGACAAAAGTTATTTTTTGCTCATTACAAAAGCATGTGTAGATATAAACGAGAGTCCGTATAAAAAAAGTCATTGCCCAAAATAAACCAACAGTAAAAGAATTCCAAATCGTGAAATTCATGACAGCGTCCTTTGTGAACCGTAACAGTAACCATGCATCATCAACAAATTTCGGGACCCAGCCAGGTATCGCCCTAGCTCGCTTGCTATAAATGAAGGAATGAAACGAATAAAAGAGCAAATAACGCCCCTCCACCGACCCGTGCACCGGCCCTAACTGCTTACAAAATGTGACTTCATCGCCTGTCTCCCAGATCCTCCTCGTGCTCACGGAACACGCTCGGTCTGGTCTGACCCGGAGAGCCGGCGGGCCGTGCCGAAATATAGTCCTGCCCGACCACATCACCGGCTGTCGGTGGAGATATGGGTGACAGTTGTGTCTGTTCAGACTCTCTCCTGTCAATGGCCGGCCTGTCATCGTCCTTCTCCACTGGGCCGAACCCGGCCAGCGTT